AGAGAGAGAGAGAGAGAGAGAGAGAGAGAGAGAGAGAAAGAGTCCGTCCGGCCATGTCGATATACCTGCCTACCATTCATTCCGACTGTCGATTGGCCCCTTCTACCTCGCCCGTTCAACCCCCACATTCCTGCCCTCCCCTTCCGCCCTGTTCGCCTCTTGAACGAACACATTCCCTACGTGGACGTTCAACAACTTAAGAAGGAAAGAAGAAAATAACTGAATAGATTCCGTATTCCTGATGGCATGACGATCATGCATGTTGGTAACGACGATGGATGGCGATGGTAGTGGAAGATTGGTTACACAGAGAGACAGAGAGAGACAGCGAGCGAGCGAGCGAGCGAGCGAGAGAGAGAGAGAGAGAGAGAGAGAGAGAGAGAGAGAGAGAGAGAGAGAATTTGAAACCGTTGTTGTTCTCCAATGCTGAAAACGGAAAATGCATTTCAAGCGTGAAGACATTTATTCTTAAAAAAAAAAAAAAGTGTGAAGACATTTATAACCTTGGAACATTTTGCCTGCACCCCTCCCTGAACCCCTTGTTTTGGCGTTTTCTTTTTCTTTTTCTCGATAAAATAAGCTTCACATCTTTTTCCCACATTGGCGTTTTTGGCGTCTTCCTATTCCGGACAGCACGACGATCATGCATGTTGGTCACAATGGAACATAGAGATGATGACGGATGCAAAATAAAAAGGAAAAATTTAAAAAGAAAAAGAAAAGAGGAAAAAAAAAGAGAAAAAAAGAAAAAGAGATGATGACGGATGGGGATGTTTCCTGATGGCATTTCGAGCTTGAACAAAAAAAGAGAAAGAGCAAAAAAAAAAGAGCTTGAATTTTGCAAAACCTTGAAGGAACATTTTGTCTGCTCTCCCCTCCCTAACCCTCCCTCCCTAACCCCCCCTCCCTCTTTGTTTTTTTTTTTTTTTTTTTTTTTTTTTTTTTTTCGGAAGAACGACTTTCACAGCGTTCTCCCACACGTTTGGATCTTCGCTCAATCCAGGAACATAATAATTTTTTTGTTATTTTTTTGGTTGAAAAAATGTCGCGTTGGTAGCTCTCCATCGTCTCTTTCCTTCAAGCGCAGGATGGCGGCGAACAGCATGGATGACCATCCATGGACGACGGCCTTGAGATATCAACGGAAGCATCTCAGGTCATGTCAAGCAGCAGCTCAATTTCATCTACAGCATTTATAACGGTTCATACATCGCCAACGGCATACTTTCCCCTCCCCCCCCCCCTTCCAACGGGCGACGGCTTTGAGATATCATCTCATTGAACTGACCGGGGCCAAGTCCCACTAGCAGCGTTGAGCTACCTCAACGCCTGAATCTGGACGCTTTTGCAGAGATGTGCAGAAATGGTGTTGAGTTTCCTGAACTGCACGTCTCCACAAAATACGTCCAGATTCAGGCGTTGAGGTAGATCAACGCTGCTAGTGGGACTTGGCCCCCGGCCTAGATAAGTTGGTACACCCATGACCTGTTGAAATATGCTGTTGGCTCGAGCGTGGGTCTGTATTTTTTTTTTTTCTTTAAAAAAAAAAAAAGAAATACAGACCCACGCTCGAGCCAACAGCATACTTGCTCCAGACAAGCATTTGGCATTGAAGAAAGACGCGCCACGTCTGCAACGGTATTCGTTCGCCAGCGACATATATGTTCTCTCCTTTCAGCTTCTCTAACACTGGCTTTTTTGGGGGGGATTTCTCTGTCCACACAAAAAAGGCTGTTTTTTTTTGGGTTCTCTTCCCTCC